TTGACATTGAGACCCCCTTTGGTATCTTTATATAGGAGGGTTGTAGATGTGCCAACAAGATGAAAGTGATTGTAGATGTGATGAGCAGATAAAGCAGCCATAAATGAGAGGCTTATATGCCCAGGTGGCTCATGGAAATCTCTTCTGCTTGGAAATCACACCAAAGAGAAATTGCATGCCCACTGGTACGGAGTTAATTATCAATAAAGACGCCTCCTGTTCTCTTATACATGTTGGCTGTGGTGGTACAGTGGCCCAGGGCTGCATCTAGATTCATGGTTTTTTTATACCTAAACAACGAAACTCATTATCCTTCCATCTATTTGTCTCTTCTGATCCGCCCACCCCCCAGCCCCCTTTCCTTGCCTGATGACATCAGAGCTGCTGTCATCTGCCTGAGATCAGCTGAGATCCTTATTGTCCCACAGGGCCGCTAGAGGAGCTGGGGACCTGGGCCAGGCCTGCTAGGAGAAGCAGTGTCCCGGAGCTCGGGGCCCCGGGCCCCGAGTCTGCCCCCTTAGGTCACTCAGCAGCCAGAGAAGAGGCAGCCTCCAGCAGCGGTCTGCTCCTGCGGGCTCCTTCGCTGCTGACCTCTCCCAGGGGCTCCCTGCATGTCAGCCTTGGTTGGGCCCACTGGACCAGGCCTCCGAGGGTATCTTGAGCCAGCCTGCTGCCCCTTGTCTGCTGGTTTGCCCACGTGACACAGTCCTCGTCTCCTCTTCCCCATGTAGCCAGCTTCATTTCACCTTTCTGGTCCAGCTTAGGTGTCTTCTCAAGGAAGCTGCTTGGATGATGCCCACTCCCAGGCTGGTCAGATAACCCCTCTCCCTCAGTGTTCCCACATGAGGATTCAAGGACGTTGAATTTCACCGAAAGCGTGGAGCCCAGTGCCTGGTTCAGAGCAGGCACTCTGTTCAACAGGCAGTTATGGAGGGTCTGCCTCGTGCTGGTTGGCGGGGGATTATAAACATAAAGGAGACATAGTCTTGGCACTCTGGACGTTTGGCGTGGTGGGTTGACAAAAGTGTGGACCCCCTTGCTCCCGTTTACTGGAGTGTGAACCGGGACAGCAACAAGAACTGGGTGGGCTCATAGAAGACAGATGTCGAAATTACTTGGGGATTTGGGGTGGGCTTCCTGGAGGAGGTGACCTCCGGGATCGGTTGTGGAGCTGGCCAAATTTGGGGAACAGAGATAGGGTGAAGGTAGGGTTGCAAGCAAGGGAAGGAAGATGGATAGGAAACATCCTGGGAGAGTGGGGTCGGCTCTGAGCAGCTCAGGACAGTGAGAACCAGGTTAGGTGAGGGGAGGCAGACACCTGGAGCTGGAGAGACGCCTTACTCCACGGCTTCTTGCATCGAACCGCCTCTGAATGTCTAGTATCTAGAGGACTCTTCAAAGGCCCCACGTGGACGGACACTGCACCCTGGTGACTCAGGAAGGTGCAAACAGCACAGGGGGATCTCGGCAGCTAGTGGGTGAGGCCGACAGGACCAGATGCCAGAGGAAGCAGCATATGAAATCTTTCTGGATGGAAGGTCTCTGAATATCACCCAATCTTTACCTGTGTCTTTCACACCACTGCTTCCCTGGGTCGTGGCTAGGTCATTTGGACGCAGCTACCATGGTTCCCATCTTAGTCCACTGGGCTGCTTAACAAAATGCCATAGACTGGGTGGTATATAAACAACAGAAATTAGTTTCTCTCCGTTCTGGAGGCTGGGAAGTCTTAAGATCAAAGCACCAGCAGATTCGGGTCTGGTGAGGGCCCACTTCCAGAAGGCATCTTTTCACTATAGCCTCACGTGGCAAAAGAGCTCTCTAAGGTCTCTTTTATGAGGTCACTAGTCCCATTCAGGAGGATGTCACCCTCGTGACCTAATCACCTCCTAAAGGCCCCACCTCCTAATACCTTCATATCGGGGGACTTTAACATGTAAATTTGTGGGGGAGGCAAACATTCAGTCTATAGCAGCTCCCAAATAGTAGCCCCAACCAGTCTTACCCCCTGTGCTTACCGATAAACCAGCAAACTGTGGGGACTCTGGGACACCCAGGGACCCATGCTCTTCTGTCCCTGTGTTGCTCATATTATCATGTCTCCTTATCCTCACCTCTCGCTGGCCCAGACTCAAAAGGGAGTGCCCACAGGCATGGCCCAGGGACCAGAACCTGGTACCATGCCATAAAAGAGCAGAGTCAGGACTGAGGGGTGCCACATGGCCAGAAGGGCTAGGTCATTAAGACGCTGCCTTAGGACGTCCACCTTTCCTCATTCCCTTGCTCTGGCGCAAATCCCCCCAGAGTCAATTACCTCCGGACACCTGAGCAGTGTGTTAGCAGTTCTGGCCGCTTCCGGCTGCTGGGAAGAAAGTGGCTCTAGGACCAACCAAAGGGCTAATTTTGAGTTGGTGAAGGGCCAGCTCTGTAGCTCTGTGATTCTTAACACAAGTAATGAATGAAAATATGCTTATTGAAGAAGAGTCTATCTAGACATTATAGAAACATCCATATGTTTCTATACGTATAGAATATATGTAACATATGCTTGCTATAAATATATATGCATATGTGTGCGTGGATCTATAAAACAACGTAATTACAGAAAAGCAAGTAAAAATACTTCACGCGCCATTCCACTCACTCCCCAGAGGAAACCACTTCTGCATTGTGGTGGCTGTCCTTGTAGGCATTTTTCTGTGCATTTACATAATAAACAAATGCCTTTGGGTTCATATAATTATAGTTTGTTTTTTCTTTACACAAAGAGGATTACATCAATATCCCATGATTTGGTTTATTCACTTCATTTATCTTGGATTCTTTTCCATCCTTTGTCACGGTGGCAGGACCTTCCACACTGTCATGCAACTTTCCGCTCTGCTAATGAGAGATATTTAGGTTATCTCCCCTTTTTGTTATTGCAGACAATACTGCTGTGACTCTCCTTGGCCATACATATGTGTGATGGGAATTCATATCTTTGTCGAGTAGATACCAAGAGGTAGAATAATAGCATCAGGAATAAAGCACATATAACATTTTGGTGGCTGCGGCCAAAATACTCCTTCCAAAAAAAGGTCGTTACGGTGGCCATGCTCACCAGTGGTGTATGGAATTGTAGGTTTCACACCTTGCCAGTACTGATGTTATTATTACCTGATTTTCTAGTCGGATGGGGGGCGGGGGTGTCGTATCCTATTGATATTTTGTGTTTCTTTAAGTATGAATAATGTTGAACATCTTTTCCTATGTTTATTGCCATTGGTGTTTGTTTTCCTGTAATTAATTTCCTGCTCATACCCTTTACTGGTTTTTCAGGGTTAGAAGCTTGTATGCACTCTAGATATTAATAATTTATCTGTTACGTATGTTGCAAATATTTTTCTCTCAATAGATTGTTTGTCTTTTACCTTTGTTTATAGCATTCATTTGCGAAAGGGAGGTTTTAAATATATACTTAGAAGAATTAGTAGGCGAAATTAGGGAATTTACATGGATTTAGACTGGTGATTGGGCCATGTCTTAGCTATTGTTCAAATGTATGCATATATAATATATTACAGAGATTAATAAACATTTTAGAAGTTAAATGGTTGAAGGGCACACCTATTTCTGTGTATTTCCTCAGTTGGTGGATGCTAAAAATACAACGGTTATTGTGTAGGGAGTTCCAGAAAATCTGTGATGCTACACAGAGGTTCCCCATACATGGAAAGACTGGGGGCCACTGACCCAGAAGATGGACTTACATCTGCTCATAAATAATTGGCAAAGTGTATTAATCAGGACTCATTTGGTTGAAAGTAATGAAACCCAGCTCAAACTAGCTTAATTCCTCGACTTATTATACCTGGGGCATCTAAGAGAGGTTCTGCCTTCAGCCACATCTGGACCCAGGGGCTCAAACGATGGATGTCCTCAGGTCTTCTTTCTCTCTCCCTCTCTGATGAACTCTCTTCATTTGTTGGTCTGACTTGTCTCTACTTAGCATCATGCTCTCCCGCTGTAGCAGACAGAGGCTTTCCATGGAAGGACAGGTGGCTGGAGCAGCCCCAAGTTTCCATTCTTAGAGATCAGTATCCAGAAGAAAGGGAGCCCCCCTCTTCTAGTGTCTGTACAGCACCTTTCTTAAGGAAAAGGAGTCCCCTTGCGCCATCACTATTCTCCTTGACTCCAGTCACATGTCAACCCCCAGGCAGGGGACCAGGGACATTGTGATTGACAGTTCAGTCAGAAGCACCTGGGGAAGGGAAGGAGTGGTTCACCAACAGAAAGCAGGTTGCTAGATGGGCAGACATAAGAGACTGCAGGGCCCACCTATGACATCCAGAAGACTATCGGGGAGAACCTAGCCCGGAGGCAGAGGAAAGAGCTTGAGATGGGGTCCCATCCACCATGTACATCTTGGGCTGCTGCCTCAGCCTCTTCTCTTCCTGTGAAGCGGTCAGGTGAGGATTAACAAGCCAATGCCTGTGATCGGGCTCCGGGGCCACAAAGTGTACAGCAGGTTGTACTACATGAGATACCCATATGCCACACACCTATGTCTACACAGCAGGTTGTACTACATGAGATACCCATATGCCACACACCTATGTCTAGTTCTTCGTGGGTACTCCAAAGGTGATGGTTTTTCTCCTTAGCACTTACTAGAATGCAAAGGGTGTAAGGAAGGAGGTCAGCAGCATAAAGTTAATGTGTAAGTTCTTCCTTTACCACCGTGAGTGAGGTCCCTTTTTTGGGGGGTGGCCCACCAGTGTCATATAATTATTAGTGAGGAGAGGACCATGGCATCAAGAAAGTCAAGGCACATTGGGGACTCAGGAAACAGTTCTGGAATGGGAAGCTGAATTCTTGCTACACTCAAGTCCACCCTCTTCCTTTGGGAGAGAATAGTTACTCAAGATGAAAAGATCCAGCCACACTCTGGGCCCCTCCAGCAGGCCCGGCGCCCCCTGTGACTGCATGTATCATGACCTGCTTGGCTCTCCTTGCAGTCCACCTGATCCCGGTGTCGGCAGCTAAGAATGGAGTGAGTAGCAAGAGTCGAAAGAGAATCATGCCTGACCCGGTGACGGAGCCCCCTGGGACGGACCCCGTTTACGAAGCTCTCTTGTACTGCAACATTCCCAGTGTGGCTGAGCGCAGCATGGAAGGTAGGCCTGCCTGCACTGCCCAACTTGGTACCTGGGCAGACACCCCACTGGGGACTGGTGCTTCTTCAGACAGCACAGCACGGTGGGCAGGAGCAAGATGGCCTGGCACAAATCCTGCAGTTGCCACTAGACCGTGCCCTTGAGTCGGTTCTCGGGTCTTAGCTTCCTCATCTCTAGGGCATCACCCCAGTTACCCACTTTTCTGGGTAGCCTGGGTCTCTCAGGGCTTAAGGTGTCCTCAGGATGCCCTGCTGGTGACTTGCAGAAAAGGTATGGGGAAATCTCATTTCTGCATTGAGTTCTGCTTTTCCGAGCGTGTGTCAAAGAATGATGCTGAATATTTATCTGTTTGTGCCCAGCCTTGTTTCATGAGAGGTTTAAAGCAGAAGTCATTGTGTCTGGTGTTTCTGTGGGCCTCCCCCTAGTCTGCAGATGTGAGTGAGGCCACAGCAATAGTCTTGCCCACATTTCACTGGCCTTTAGCTCCTGCCACACCCCAGAGCCTCCCCATGATTTCTAGGGGTCCGGGACCTCTCATGTGCCTCGCCCTGCCTTGTGAGGCTGTTCAGAGCCCCTCAGCCCCCCACCCCCACCCAGCACGGCACTCTTCCACCATGGTTACCCCTCCACTTCTGTGGAGTAAAAAAGATTGACACTCCCTCAGTGGTAATGAGAATATCAATCTCTCTCTCTCTGTCTTTCAGGTCACGCTCCACATCATTTTAAGCTGGTCTCAGTGCATGTGTTCATTCGACACGGGGACAGGTACCCACTCTATGTCATTCCCAAGACAAAGCGACCAGAAATTGACTGCACTCTGGTGGCGAACAGGTAAATTGCACTTTTTCTAATAGTCCTTTTCAAGAATCTGTTATCTCTGTCCAAATCAGAATGCTCACAGGATGGGGGAGTGACTTGCACTCGTGGAGTGAGTACTGTTAGCCAGGAGTCTGATCAGCTGGGACATGGTGTGTAGTGAGCACTGGGTTAGGAGTCCTCAGACCCCGGCTCGGCTGCTCCAGCCAGGGCAGCAGGCAAGCCCCTTAGTGTCTCTGAGCCTCAGCTTCCGTCTCTAAAATGGGGATGACAATGCTGACTATGCAGGGCTGGGGTGAGGAATAAGTGAGATAGTAGAGGGGCATGCACACTGTCAAGTGCAAAGCCATGTAACTGTAAATATCTGTATTTATATATCAAATATCTATAGGAGTAGAGTCTTCAAATATCTGTAGGAGTAGAGACAGCCTGCTCATGGTTGACAGCACTTAGGATGAAAAATCATTGAAAAGAGAGTGGAAATGGTGCCTATGGAAATGTCATGGCCCTAAAATTAGAGGCACACTTAGCAATAAAATGATAGGCCAGGCCTCGGCACACGTGTCTAGGGACACAGAACATTCCGAGCAGAATTTGCTGAATGGGGCGCGGAGACCGAGGCAGGTGCTCAGTGGGGAAGACGTTATTTTGATGGAATGCTTCTGTGTGCCAGCCTGCCCCGGGCAGGGCCAGCCTGGTGGAACCACGGGTTGCGCCCCTGCAGCCAGGGCTGTTCTTTCAAAGTGGACTGCAGTGTGAACCCGGGAGTTTCAAGTTAGCTCTTTGCCTCTCAAACCTTCTCATTGTCCGGTATTATGGAGAATAGTAAATGAACCATTTTATGTAAAAACATCTTGAAATACTGTGTGAGTGTAGGCTTTCATACATTTTTTTTTCATTTTCATGATGCTCGCAGTCTGGGTATTTGTCTTTGTTTCTATGTTCAGCAAGCATGGAAGCATATCCTGGTGTCCCACGGGTTGGAAAACACACTGGGTGGCGTCCAGCCTGTGTCAGAGTGCCATACAGACACCGGCTTTCTTCCTCCAGCCTCTAGCCTCCTGTGCCAGCCTTCCCGCTGGGGTCCTCTGCCCCTGCCATACCCACTGCTTGCTGACCCCTTATCCCTTCAGGCCTTTGCACGTGCCGTTTGGCTTACATGCCCCCCATGCCTGCTCCTTTGAGGCCCCTGGAGATGCTGCCTCCTCTAGGAAACCCCTCCCAGCGTATGAAGATGGGTTCTCTGCTTGTATCGGACGCTGCTACTGCCTCATTTTAAACTAAATAGGACGGTATAGGAGAAGGGTCTCAGAACAAAATATTTAATGACCAGACCTTAACTAGCCTTAGGACGAGGGCAGGGCGGGGGTCACTTGCTGAGCTGGCTATTACCCCTTTAGTTTCTGGGACATGGAAGTGGGCCGAAGCATCCAGGATGGTGGGAGGGAACAGGGTGGGTGTAGGGAGGGCAGCTCAGGGAAGTGGCTTTGCTCTGTCGGGCACAGCAGAGCTTCTATGTGTTAACAACTGGCACAGTTCTGCCATTGCACACTGGCTGAATACCCACCCTTTGAACAGCTCGGGGACAGATAGGTGCTCGAGGTCCAGCTTCTGAGCTAGCCGGACCCAGGACAACCTCAAGGACTTTGTGGACAGTACCGTCCGTGCTTCAGCCCTTGGCTACTCGTAGCTTCTGTTGCTCTTTCTCTAGCTGGGCTTCAAATTCTTAGAAATGAGAATTTGAGAGGCTCAGCTCAGACCAGGGGGTCTGCCCTCAGACCCGTCAGCTGTTGCTAGAAGGTCCCTGGACACTCTAGGCTTCTAGGGATCACTCTGGCTGTTCCCAGAAAAGGGCCCATTGGGCAGAGCCACCGGGCAGAGACACCTGGCAGCATGCAGGGCCTCCCCTGTGCACCCTGGTACTTTGCAGCTTGTCATCGAAGCAGGATTGTCTCTGCACTCCCTTCATCACTGGTTTCTCCAGGACATTGGGTCTTACTGTATCACCAGTGCCCAGCCCAAGCCTGGCATCTAATAGTTGTTAGACTGAGTTGGTCAGAATGAATTCAGGGCCTCTGTGCGAAATCACAAGTCATAATTGCCTATCACGTGTTCTTGGCATGGGATCCTCTGAGGCGAGGCCATTGTAACCTGTGTGATGTAGGGCAAATCACTTCACCTCTGTGAGCCTCGGTGTCCGCTGCTCTGGAACATGGGGCTACTGACACCTCCCTCTAACATCCTTGTGAGACCTGACAGAGCACTGAGCCTGGTCCAGACTGCGAGCTTCATGTACCACAGCAGCCTGGATGAGGTCTTCTGGGGCCCCGCCCCTTTTCCTCCCCGAGGGGTGGTGGTCACAAAGCCGGGACTGATCCCTGGGCCCCTGGTTCTGTCGCAGCGGTGGCGGGATCCGCTGGCGGGGCCGTTTCTGGAGCTCCCAGTTGCGAGGTGCGGCTCCGAGGGGCGAGCTGCCCGGCTGCCTCTGCCCTCATTGTCCCTGGCCTTGCTCTTCTGGCCTCGTTTTATTTTGTTGGACGTTCTGTCTTCTTCAGATCTGTTTTGAATCCTTTGTAGAAAATGGGTGGAGTGTGCATGTTTAATGAATTAATGTCACTTAATTAATTCCATCTTTAAAAACAAAAAAAGTTGACCTGTCATTAGTAGGAGTGGGCAGGACTCCCCGTGGTGTGGATCCACTTTGAGCCTCTGAATTCCCCGGGGACCATGGGCTCTGGGTCACCAGCGTGCCTGCTGTCTTCCTAGGTGCCAGGTCTGCTTCATGAATTATTAGTTTTTGTGGCCTCCTCAAAGGCAGAGTGAGTCCTGGACTGTGCCCATTACCCCAGCCTAGTGAAAAGGAATGTCTGGGCCAGCAGGCAGGGGTGCGGTGCGCTGAGTAAGAGGAGCCAGATGTCTGTACGAGATGGTCACCCCAATATTTCCCTTCACAACGACACATTCCATGACTCTCACATGGTTTTGTAGCGGACACCGCCTCTTCATGAATGCCATATGCCTCGTGACAGAGGTGCTATTTTAACCCTCATAGGACTTCAGCCAGCAGTCAGGTTGTTAGCCATTGTTGTGCTGTGTTTAGTAAATGCCCTTTTTTTTTGCATTCATGAATATGAATTAGATACCCTGTTCTACATCCAAAAAAGATAGAATGTTGACTTCAATTAGCATTAGTCAATAGATTTTATTTTTAAATGCCTATCATGTGCCAGGTACTGTCACGTGTACCTGGCTTTGTACCAGGAAGTGACATGTGAACAGACACCTAAATGAAGTGAAGGAGCTGGCCCTGTGAAGATCAGGGGGAAGAGTGTTCCAGACAGAAGGAGCAGCACGTGCAAAGGGCTTGGGGTTGGGAGAGCTGGGCCTGCGTGAGTAAGAAGACCAGTCTGTGGCTGGACTGGAAGAGTGAGGGGGAGAGTGAGCTTCTAAGGATTCACAGAAGAAAGGCTCCTCCTGCCCCCAGGGGACCCACTCCCCTCTAGAGAGACAGATCTGATACCTAGCGCCTGAAAAGCCCCAGTGAATAGTACCCAGCACAGGTGATAGCAGCAGTATGGTATTAGAGAAAGAAGTGGAATAAGAAGAATAAGAAGTGGAAGTCGTGGCCGGCCAAGTGGCGCATTGGTTAAGAGCTGGCTTGGGACGCCAGAGGGCCCCGGTTCAGATCCCACATATGAGGGCCAGTGACACTGCCCTCTGCA